GAGTTTCAATATCTCACACACTCCAACTAGTGTTCAACTTTATATTCATCTCCATCAAACTCTTTCCTTAGTTCTCACTAATTTTTCTGTCTTTGTTGACAAAATGTTATCTCTATTCCGCCTAAATTTTACATTATAGTGCTTGTTAAGAGTCCTGATGTTCGAACTGTCTCAAATCAAACAACAGACGTAATATAGTTTAAGGCAACAGGTACTACTGTAATAAAACTTCGAATCAGGGTACGATGGCTTCTTTCTTTCCCTCATCTACTCCAAAACATAAATCTTACTAAGAAGACTTATTAGGTAGAAACTACAGATTTAATTTGCATAAAGTTAAATCAGCTTATACAGACTAGTTGTAATGATTACTAACTGCAGATTTCTATTAAGTAAGCAATTGTCGCTTAAAGTCAAGATCACATTGAATTGATTAATACAACAAAATTGTATTGAAAACCAAACCAAACAAACTTCACAGTGACTGAATCAATACAGTTGAAAATGTACTGAAAATCAATGAACGAAATTCACATCCCATTGATTAATACTGAAAGCTAATAAACGAAAATCGCTTAAGTCCAGTATATGGATTTCAAGATTGATTTTACTGTAATAAGTTGTGCTTGGGGAATTAGTATCCCCCAAAAAACTTTACTTGCTAAGATTTTAGAATTTGGTGTCACTGGTTTATGATATGTCTTTGAAACTTACAAACAAGACTCATACCCAATCATCTAGTTAACTTCAAGTAGTTGATGCACAGAATCAGCTCAATTGACGCATCAGGTATTGCCAAACTTAATGACAACTTCTTATGCTCTTGAGCTTGTAGGTAAAGCGTTGAATTCAGTAGTAGAAAAGCGATTTGTGAACTGGATTTTGACTGTTATCACCAACCAACTGTCCCAATGACTGGTGGTGTAAGAGCTTAAAAGTAGAAGGATACACACCATCACCCCTTAAGTAGTCTCTGCCTACATTCCTACTGATCGCAACTCGGAAAAATTAAAACATGAGTTCCAAAGAAAGTTTCCTGGCCTCTTACTAAAGATTGAGTATCTTGATGTTGTAATTATGACAGTTGGCTTTAACGCTCAAGTAGTTAAGCTTGGTGAAGCTTAAAGGATGTAGGTGGAACTTTTATTATTTTAGTCCATTAAACAAGTAACGAACTATTGTCAGATAATCTTTTATTTACAGTATGTTTCGTCTCTAGAGAACAGGAAAGACAATGTTTGATCTATCAACTTTGGACATCAACTTGATTAGGAACACACGTTAAAAATATCGATAGGGGTGATAATTAGAAATGGTAAACTGCCTTTACTTTTATAACATATTTTCGACTCTGGTTATAATGTGGTATAAGTATGTGTCTAGTTGCTCCTTACTGGTCGCACAAAGATTAAAATAGAAATACGTCTTGGAACTCATAAAAAATAAACTTTACTCCTAACAAAACATAGCATGCATATTCGATCCATGTGACCTAATGGCATTTCCGAAATGCGGTAAAAATAACAGTTGTTTGTTGAAAACTCGAATCGAGAGCTAAGGAAGAAATAGCAAATATAAGTAGCTCCCACTGGATTATTAAATTCATTTAAGCTCGTCGTGGCAAGCTCCGGACACGTTGAGTCTCAGAGGAGGCTTAAACACAGACTGAAAAAGACCTACATAATAATTGTGAGCAGTAATGCATAAACGACTCAAATAAAAAGCTGAAAAGATAATACCGATAATTAATACAAGACAGTTGGTCAAGAAACTTGGATTGTAAAATCAACTGTCCGTAATAATATATCCCAAAATAATTTAGTGGTCTACTCTCAAACTAGAAGACTAAAAAGATCGATAAACTTTTAGGAGTAGTTCAACCAAACTTTAATATTTAGGAAGAACTAGGTGTTAACCAACTCAGAACAACAAATAACAGTACGTTATGAAGAGTTAACCACATGTGCATTCAATGATGATGAAATTACTAGGTGTATATTAAATGGCCGTACAACTAGCGAAAGACGAATAAACTACTCAGTTGTTTATTTTATTTCCCTTTACTTCTGTGAAACATGGCTTACTAGTATAAAAGGTATGTGTTAGTTAAAAGTACTCTATCGTAGATGTTTTTGGAGTATGACTGATATATGGTGGAATCATGGGATGAATAGTGTGGAGGCTAGGTGTCGAATATAGGGTTAAGGTTGAATTATGTTCATTAAAACTGTGATTCTTTATCAGCTAAGGTGGTTGGGATATATATCACGAATACTCTAACTCTGGCCACCCACACGAACATTGCTGGCTTAAGTGGGAGCAGGTGAAAAGAAAATAAGTAGTGTTATTACTATTGTTGTTTCACTTGCTTTGGCTTTCATCTTTGTTAACTCTTTCTGGATAAATGTAAATTTATCCATAATTCTATACTGTTCATGACTGATCGGTAGCAATTGTAAGACTTTTAGTTTTATATAATTTTCGACACTTAATAGTATAACTGCATGTTATTTATACTGTCACCGACTAGAGCTTACTTTTATTCCATTTATTGAAAGAAGTTAATTAATGATAAGAATGTAGGTGTATTTTTACTATAAACTGATAAAAATCTTGACACATATTTAGTAACTTTTGGTACTATTGTAAGTTTGTATTCTAATGACTGGTTTCAAAAAGGATTATAACTTCACAAAATTATAATGAGTTAGACAATTAACTAAGTCACTTACTTACCAGTATCATACAACTATGAACAGTTAACTTATGTTCATTTATATTGCCATAAGAAGTGTCCCATTATTAAATTCTTTCACATGATTAAACTTGATAAGATTCACTGGCCATAATCATAAGCAACACTTTTATGTGTATTTAGAAATAAATTAAAACTTGAAAATCAATCGATACATATTTTAAAAGAAATGGTTGACATAAAAAACAGATCATGGAAACACAAAGATAAGGGTATTAGTAGTTGAAAAAAAGTCATATGATCATGTGTAACAGGTATGACCCTATATTCATTTGTAATCGTTTGAGTTCAAGCATTAGAGACTTCAATATATATATATATATATATATATATATATATATATATATATATATATATATATATATATATATATATATATATATATGATGCCTTCATTTTTAGTAAAACTTTCTAAACTAGATTATTGACTACTTTACTTTATTCATAATATTAGTATATATTTATTTTAATTTATGATTAAGGTTACCATCATATGTCTTTTTACAAGATTAATAATTAGACCCATGATTCCTTGAACATGTTATTGATAACATACTTGTTTAAAGCTGCTTAAATGGTCAATAAGTTAACTGCACATAAACAATTATTGAGTTCAGTTGACTAAGTAAATGAAGTGTACATAAGCATTATATATATATATATATATATATATATATATATATATATATATATATATATATATATATATATATATATATATATATATATATATATATTCATTATATTCGAACGTTAAAACATAATACCTAATTCAATTGATATTGTTTTTAGGACTGAAATTGATCAGTCTCTTATTGGCATATAAGCATACTGTGCGTATACCTCGATATTGCCTTAATTTACAAGCATTATAAGCAAAGATGAATAGTGGCTAGCAGTGGAATCCAGGACGCACGTTTCGTCCTGTTTGGGACTCGTCAGCTGGATGTACCTGCATCTCAGAGTTGATGTTCACTCTGGGACTCGAACCCAGTACCGTTCGCTTCAAACGCCATCGCGTTATCCACTTAGCTACTGAGTCCTGATAGCGATCATAATACCTATTTGAATCTACAAAATTAAAATGTTACGTGTGTCCGAACACCCATGAAACTACTATGTAATATCTTGATAACTTTAATAACAATTGTCCAGATTATTACAGGTACATTGTTAAATATTCTACACTACTTTTTATAAATGTTAACAGTACACTTGTTTATCAATGATTAGTATTTTATGTTCTTTAGTTTCTCTTAACTCATTTTGTCCATAAATTGACATTAGTTTTAATGGTGCTTTCTGTCTTATAGAAAATGGAAACATTTTTAACTTCACTCACTAGTGTTTAACCTTTTTTTTTGTTGCTCATATGAATATTATTGATTTGTTTACTGATTAAAAACAGTGAAATGAATCAATTAATTGACATTTTGATTGTCTATGTGTAAACATATATATATATATATATATATATATATATATTTATTTATTTATTTATTTATTTAATTACACACAAGCTATACAGTAAATTACATAATAATATGACTTTTTCAATTCAGTTATTTGTGTATTATTTCCTAAGCTCTTAATTTTATTTCATCTTATCTATTTGAATAAGAAGTAAATTTGACTAATATAGACATCATCATAGAAGATACTAAGTATTACTGATTAAAGATTTTCTGTTTATTGGGAATTGACTGACGTTAAAAGACACACTTAAATTTTTTATTAAATGTTAACTATTAAGATTTGAATCAGTTATCGGATGGATTCTGAGGTGCTAAAAATTAGACTGTTTAGCATGATATAAATTCCTCTTTACTCGTTTTGAGGTTTAAAAAATTAGGTTAATTGTTTCGGAAATGATGAACACCGTATTAAGTCATTCATTCCTATCCTCTTTTCAACTTAAATAGTTTATGATTGTGAAGATATCTGTTACGTCCTTGATCTATCTACCCACCAATATACAGAAGATAGCTTTTCTCTATCTAGATTAAGGCCTTGACACGATAGACTGACTGATTTAACCTTGAGGCTAGAATCGCGTGAGATTGAAGTTAGACTATGGTATGCTTTTCAATTACAAGGAAACTACATTCATAATACATTGATTTAAATTACTAGTTCGTATTAAGTGAATCATTTGAGTGTGCACATATATCAACTTGATAATTTGTATTTAATGTTGAATTTGTTCATGTATTTTTTACTTGTTCTTATCGATTGACTGTTCTAGGATTGCTGTGTAGTCAGTGATGAATTAAATCATACAAGTCTAGTCTTGGGATGTCGATTGTCGGGAGCAACTATACGTCGTTTTAAACATAATGATATGGAAGATTTGGAAAAAATTCTGCAAGATTCTGTTGTTTATGGTCGTCCGCGTACCCACAGACCATATAAAAAAATATTGGTTGTAGTTGAAGGTATATACAGGTAAATATTTGTAGTTAATTTGTTTTTGTTTTGAACTGTGCCATTTGTCTATGTAAAAAACCAAAATAATTTAAGCTCATTTTTATTAAATTACTCGGGTTTTTTTAAAGCATGAACCCAATAACACAAATGTTATCCCTCGTTCATTTCCTATCATGAAGCAAGTCCACTTTCACTTTAATTGTTATCTAGTGATTATCTGCACACTTTTGACATAATATCCCTTGACAAGTATATCTACTTTTATTTAAATAGTATTTCTAGCCCGAATACAGCAAATGTGGCTCATATCCTACCTTACGATTCTGTACTTGTATTGTATTATCATTTTGATTGTGTCGATGTTTATTACTAGTTAAACTGTACGGTTACAAAATTGAAATTTAGTGAGGTATACAACATAAAATGGATGAGACCATAATTTATGGACGACCTTTGCACGACATTGAAGTGACCTAGAGAATGTCCATCTACTAACTAGGACTAAATGAGGGTTATAAACGAGTGTGAGGAATCAAGATCATGATTTACAGTTGATGATTAGGAATTAGGTTTAGGGTTTTCATCACTAATTGACATCAGATAAAATGCCAAAGCACTATTTAACCAAATGAATTATTGAATTTAGAGCCGAAGTCCAGGATCCGTTATCTAATATCTGATTGGTTCGTTCACAGATTACGGTCTCGCCCCTGAAATAAATGAACCACAATATTGTTTAGCTAGTTTAAACGACATTTCTTTCATAATTCATTCTATTATTACGTTAACGACTCTTGAAAATCAACAATCGTTTCAATGTGTTTCTTAGTTACGAAACATTTTAATACTATTTATTCTTCAGTTCATAAATTTGATTTTATGATTGAATTGACGACTGTTGCATTATTATTTGATTTGATCACTAACAGGCTGACTAGAAATTCAACCGGGAACACTTTGTGTCCATTCATACTGTATTTAACAATTTTAGAATTCAAATTGAATCAATTAATAAGCAATAAGTGCTGAAAAGATGAATGACAAATGAACTGACCTTTCATTTTTCTTAAATATTACTAAATATACTACTATATGTACACATCTTTTCATCATTTTGTGCTTAATGATTGATCTATTTTGAGCCTGAAAATCGATATATATAGCCAATGAACTAATGCAGTCCGATTTTCAATTTAATTATAGATATGATAGTGATCAGTCAAGTACTTTAACGTTATAAGTTTTGGTCAAACGTAAGAGAATAATCTTCACGTAATACTTCTAAAAATACACATAGTATAAAAGAGGTGACGGGAAATAAACAAACAGTATCAGAAAATGGTAAAAATATCAATAAAGTTTCATCTGACTATATAAGTGACATGGATATTACAAAAACTAGAGTTTTTTTTGGCTCGAATCCTTATAGCTTCTTCCATATTTAAAAAACCAAGTTGAACTTCTCTGGAGAAAATGAAAGTTATTCGATAAATTATTCTGAATGATCTAGTTCTACGGTCTACATAAATACTACTAACCAAATTTGATAAGACCGATTTTTTCCTGACTTTTTTTGATCTCTTTAAAACCTTAAGGAGAGATCCTCACTAACTTGTTAAATAAATTGCATGTTCAAATACATTACAGAATCGATTGATGAGATATGTGAATCATACACTGAATACTTCATTTGCAAATTTCCATCATCTATCATTTATATTCTGTATGATTTTTTCAGCCCATAAATCCCTTCTATTTTCTCTTCCATTCTCTACGACTTGATCTTCTTAGTCTTCTGCTGACAGGTTTTCCTCTTCTGATTGGTGTTACATACATACATAAGTAGCATACACCACAAATCTACATTGAAGTGATATAGTCGGATAACTTATAATTATTATCCTGAAAGCTATTAATATCATGAAATAACATTATTAAAAAATTATTTTCAGAAGGGGTTTGTGGAGATTTTAGAAATTTTCACAGATTTAAATCATGAGTCAGTTGAAGCTAGACCACCATTGAAAACCTGGAAGCACGGGACGGCCGTTTCGTCCTAGTATGGGACTCCTCAGAAGTGCGCATCCACGATCCCGCACCACGCGGGGCTCGAACCCAGGACCTACTGGCTCATGATTTAAATCTGTGAAAATTTCTAAAATCTCCACAAACCCCTTCTGATAATAATCATTTGCTCACTAGTGACTGACTTCAAGAGATACTCCTGGAGTTTTAGTGAGAAGCCGTTACCAGTGGAGTTCAACCAGGTCTGTTGTGAGATATCAGCTGACTGAAGACAGTGGTGTACGGTGGCGCAACTTTGTGGATTGGTTGAAGTTAGACATTAACACTGTTGGATGCCGGCCCAGTGGTCTAATGGTTAAGCACTCGCACGCGAAACTGATAGATCCTAGGTTCGAATCTCGTGGGGAGGGGCTAGATCATGGATGCGCACTGTTAAGAATTCCCATGCTAGAGTGAAACGGCCGTCCAGCGATTCCACGTTTTCAGTGGTGGTCTAGCTTTAACTGACTCATGATTTAAATCTGTGAAAAAATTATTTATTAAATCTGTGCTCATGTTTGTTTTTTGATTACAAAATGCTTTTAAAATCATTTTTCTATTTTCTCTTATTTATTTGTTAATGAAATTACACAACTTAATATCTTTTCAATTATTCGAAAATGACTCAATATTTATTGTTTTTTTTTTACATTGTTGTTGCTCATTTATTCCCGGACTGATTTTTTACGAAGAGTTGAATTTGTACTTCAATATAAATATTCCACTAGAAATAGTTGGTATTAAATATCTCTAGATCTAAACAATTTCCAGTATCATTGAATTGTGCTTGACGTTGTGCTTGGAGTTGTTTGTACAATCCATTTTTGTTGTTGTTCATAGACATGTGATATATTTTTCTAGAATTTATATATAACCTTCTAAAGTTTCATAATAATTAGTAGCCTGATAAATAAATCTTTGTTTTTATGAATTATATTGCCTTTGAGATAATTATCCAATTTATTTTGTTTACTTGAAATATTTTAGTCTATTGTAGGTGAATAGAACGATTAGTTAGAAGTAGAAATGATATAATGATTAGTTTATTATGACAGCCTACACAGTACAATGTATTTCCATAGTTTTTTTTTCAGTTAATCTAAACTAAGTATCGTAAGTGTTTATTAGATTAAAGTTTAAATGGCTTATAAAAATAATTCAGTTGACTCATGATTTCAACTATTGAAATTACTAAAATCTCCACAAAACCCCTTCTGATAATAATCATCTGCCCACTAGTGACTGACTTTTAGAGGCATTTCCTGGAGTTCTAGGGAGAAGCCGTTACCAGTGGAGTTCAACCAGGTCTGTTGTGAGATATCAGCTGACTGAAGACAGTGGTGTACGGTGGCGCAACTTTGTGAATTGGTTGAAGTTAGACATTAACACCGTTGGATGCAAGCCCAGTGGTCTAATGGTTAAGCACTCGCACGCGAGACTAATAGATCCTAGGTTCGAATCTCGTGGCGGGTTAGATCATGGATGCGCACTGTTGAGAAGTCCTATGCTAGGACGAAACGGCCGTCCAGTGCTTCCAGGTTTTCCATGGTGATCTAGCTTCAGTTGACTCATGATTTCAACTATTAAAAAATAGTATAATTGTCAAGCAGATTGAAGTTGTAAGCTATACTACTTAAATGATTGTTTCAAAAGTACGTGATAACATGAAATATTCACCGAAAGGATTCATTATCTTCATTCATCTTACATGGTTTATCAGAAGAGTTATCTTAATATTGTTGATATCTTTTTTTAATGGTAATAACTAGCAAGTATTATATTAAATTAAAATTATTTATGTATTTGTACTGATTAAAATAAATGATTTTTCAATACATGTAAATTACTTACCGAGAAAATACAGTTAGAAATGATTTCTTTAAAAAAGTACAATATCATAGTTATTACTGTTAATCAATGTAAATGAATGTGAATATTGAATATACTTTATACTTTTTTACTGTGACAATCTTTATTTGGTAGAATATAATTCTTATTGAACCGATGAGAATGACAATACATAGTACTTTTCTTATGTCTAATAAACAGTATAATCTTAATGAACATAATATTCAGTTTGTTATTTATACAATTGAGAAAGAATTTAACAATTTGAATTACAAACCAATCTCAAACAACTATTAAAAACCGGAAAGTTAGAAATGTAAATCATATGATGTTGACTTAATAGTCTAAAAGCTAATGTTAGACACTATCACCATTGGATGCCGGCTCAGTGGTCCAGTAGGTTAAGCGTTCGCGCGCGAGACTGAATGCTCTGGGTTCGAACCCCGCAAGCGGAATCGTGGATGCGCACGTCTGAGGAGTCCCACAATAGGACGAAACGGCCGTCCAGTGATTCCAGGTTTCCAAAGTTGGTCTAACATCAATCGGTTCATGATCTCAATTAAAAGCTAATTGTTTGTTACAAAACTTGGAAGACCTAGATTTGATACTCGGTGGTAGCATAAATGCACAATTTCCAGAAGTCACAAAGTAAAATAAAACAGCTTTGTTGTTAACTAAGGTCCGTACCTGTTTCGAACAATAAAATTTGAAAATCTTCACAAACCCCTAACACTAGAAAATAGTAATAACAATTTAAGTTACAAATTATTTCTTATTATTAAAAGGGTATTTAATAATTACCGATCTCGTGTTTCTCTGTAAAAGCATTTTAATACGATTATTTTAAACACTAAATTCAATTCTCATTCAAATGCAATTATCTTAGCTCATATATATTTTTGATTATTTATGTGTATTTACACAGTATGGAAGGAAGTATTCTTCATCTTCCCGAAGTAATCGCTTTAAAGAAGAAATATAATGCCTATCTTTATTTGGATGAAGCACATAGTATTGGTGCATTAGGTCAAATGGGTCGTGGTGTGGCTGATTACTTTGGTGTTGATCCACGTGATATTGATATTTCAATGGGTACATTTACGAAGAGTTTCGGTTCATCTGGTGGATACATAGCTGGAAATCGCAAGTTAATTGACTATCTTCGCTCGATGTCATATAATTCTGTATATGGTTGTAGTATGCCAGCACCAATAGCTCAACAAATTATATCATCCATAAGAATTATCATGGGAAAAGATGTACCTGGTGAAGGTGAACGAAGGTAAATTAATTACATTACTATTATGTACATAAATTTATTAGTTACTTTAACATAATTTACGTTTTAGTATTTCTGCTGAACATTTCAATAAAATACTGTTTCCTCACATAATCAATGCGGGCAATTAAATATATCATTATATGCATTCACAATATACTTATATCGGTAAAACGGCTGAAATTAAACCTTCAGCTCAAATATAAGCAGCTATATTGTTGCATTATCCATAGTGAATTGACGGCTTGTAAGTAATTCAACATACAAACAGGTCCCCTTTAGGTAAACCAAATCGTATATAACAGAATGCTTACAAGTGACACAATCTATCTCCATAATTAATCAAATGTTAGTGATTATACATGAGAAAACTGATATCTCTAAATGATTTTCTTATTATCCACCTTCTTTATGTTCATTAAACAGAAAACGTTAGTTATTATCTTTTACGCTCAGCTTTTGATGAGCATACAAATATAGCTTTTTGTAATGCTTGAATCATCATTAGGTGGTTCTTAGTCTATCCCAATATTAGTATATTTGTATGCATGTTTTGGTTAGTAAACGAAGTATAGTTTACGTAAACACAAAATATAAACTGATAATAAAATGATTGTGGTTAAATTCCGAATGAATGTTTGATATTCTTGCTACGAACGAATGCTGAAAGCCTAAACATTATTCTTGGAAAACTATTATTTGTACTTTGTTTTGCTTAATGTTTCTACATATGTTCAATATGTTACACCTGTTACTCAATGTAGAGCATAGGCCACCGACTAGGATTCTCCATCCAACTCTGACTTAGGCTTTCTCTTCCAGGTGTTTCTAAATGCTATTCATTCCTTTGATATCTCTTTCCAGTTCCTGGTTCAATGTGTTCTTTTGTCTGCCTCTTTCCCTTTCACCTTGGGAACTGCAAGTTAGAGCTTGCCTACTGTTTCTACATACATGAAATGAAGATCATGTTGATAAACTACTCAAATATTTATTAAAATTAACGATGGTGTGTGAAATAACTAGGTAGCCCTGCAATAAGTTCGTATGGTATATTTCTTATATGAAGATAGATTATTTGACTCTATGTTTTGGCTGCTGATAGCTGGTATTTGAAATAACAAAAACTGAGATTCATGTGGTCGAAGGAAGAGGATAAAAACTGATGTCAAACGAAGATTTTATCCACCCTACAAAAATACGATAACCTATCAACCAAATATACTGCCTTTTATCTAGATATTACTGGGATGTGATAGTTAGTCATTGAATATCACAAATACCTGTAATAGTGGGAAGGTGAAAATGGATTCTTGACTGAATACAAACGAACTCTAAGCGAATATCATTAAATCAGAACACGATATCTCGTTTCATTCAATCTTAACGCTCAACTCCTCAAGGCGAGTATAAGATTCTAAATCAGTGATTTATCCACAACTCCATATTGAGATGAAGATATTTAAAATTTGTTTCAGGATTCTAATGAATTTTGGCCGGTTAATAACATTGCAAATAATATGGAATATTGCATTTCAATGGCGAATAATCTCATTCGGATTTAATCATAATTAATATTTTTGGTTGAGATCATGAATCAATTGATGTTAGACCACCGTTGGAAACCTGGAAGCACTGGACGGCCGTTTCGTCCTAGTATGGGACTCCTCAGCAGTGCGCATCCACGATCCCGCGAGCGGGATTCGAACCCAGGACCTACTGGCTTCGCGCCTCAGCACTTAACCATTAGACCACTGAGCCGGCATCCAATGGTGTTAGTGTCTAACATCAACCAATCCACGAAATTGCGCGACCAACTTCCATTGTACTGAGGTAGATACCTGTCTCTACCCGACACGGATAATAGTAAAACTTTAAACCTCAGGTTCCCTTTCTCTTTATCCTTGGTTTTTAAAACTAGTAAATCTTATCGCTGAAAAGCTATGATATTAAAATCTCATACAGAACCCTAGTGACACAAAAATCATTAAATTCTTATTAGAATATATAGTACTGTTTTGTAGATGATAATAAAAAGAATTAACACTGTCATATGATAAAAACTATAAACTTTTATTTATACAACGGAATACAAATTTAACTTTAAGTTTATTGTTTAATGTCAAGGTTTGAAGTACTGAGAGTAACCAAGTCATAGACAAGAAAGTGACTATCCCCTGTGCTATCGCCGAACTCGTTCAAATGTGTAATTAACAAATGAGGTTATTGATTAAGATTATTGTAGTTAGTATATATGATAAATTAATGAGACTATGAGAAACCAGTGTACATAAAATGTTTACAATTGCCCCTGAACCGCAGAGAATATCTGTCTATGGATAAAATTTGTTTCACTGACGTATATTAGTGAATATTTGAGCTCATAATTTAAGTATCCGTATACTAAGATTTGAGGCCTACATGTGTCACTGCTGGGTAGTAAGGGTAACCTTGCTAGCTAACTTCGGCGGTCGGTGGAAGTCGGACTAATCCCCCACCATGCTGCAAACTGGATAAATCTGGGTATCCAACATTGACGCTCTCAAACCTCGCGTGCTACATGATGTGCATGCTTATGTATATGAATTGCATGAACATTGGCTTGTGTAGTTGTGTATGTAGGTATATAAAAAAGGGTAGTTGCCTGGTTTACAAAAGGAACGCAAGTTGAAATGTCTGCTTTGAATCCAATGAAATCAGTGGCCTGAACTAACAGTTCGAAGACATAACAAAAATATACGGTAGCAAATATTAGGGAGAAATGAGAGTGTTTATGCCTATGTGTATGTCATGAAGTGCATGAACAAAGGTCTTCGTACTAGTGGTATGCATATAATGAGTAAGAAACAGTCAGTTTTAGCATATACGTTGTAAGGATATGGTAACCGTCTACCCTTCTAGTTGTTTGAATATACTTTTATGTATGCTATTAGAGGTTGAGTGAAAACGGGTATGTTACCAGCATGTATGTAAAACGTATTTGCTCCCATAGTGGTTATAACTAAGTGCGTGCTAAGAGATACATGGGTGGAAACTTGTGTGTTACTGGTATGCATATAACGTATATCTGTCTCTGGTGCGACGCCCGCGCGCAAACTTAGGGGTATCTATTTCCCACGAAAGCATGTTCACGTGATGGTTTTGTGGGCCTTGAAAACATGGAAACCGATTCCAGAAACTCTGCACCGGCTTTACTAAATAAGGATTTACCAACGTTAATTGGCTAGATTACCGTACCACTATCCGTATGCTATGTTTAATGTATTTGGATGTTTATTATATTGATTCCAAAATCAATTTTCGCTAATTAACACGATTTAAATGAGATGTTGTAAACTGTAGATGTCGAATTTACAGTTGAATCGTCCGCGGAGTATCTAATGTTTGAGTTGCTTAAATTTATTAGATCTACGACATGTTGATACGTAATTCTAAGAAAGTATCAGAATAGCACAAACAAGAACAGGCATTTGATCATGAAATAGCTCGGTCGAAAACATATTCTCATAAGTAGAAGTTTCAATGGGGGCCAAATTCAAAATTTCTATAAATCGTTCCTGTATAAAATAGATATTTCTTATTAGATTTTTACTTTCTCTCTTCATGGGTTTGAATCTGTAATCTTAAGGTTATTTGATAAAAAGTTACAGCTTAACCACTAAAACGAAATCGAAATACAAGCATTACTATAAATATGTGATGATATTGTTTGCACTAATGTTTGAATATTTACTTTTTCAAAGTTACACATATAGTTTCTAAATTGTTTGGTCTTATGTTTTTATTTTTTATCATTTCAGAATTAAATGTTTAGCTGAGAATATACGTTATTTTCGTGCAAGATTACATCAAATGCGCTTAATTGTTTATGGGAATCGTGATAGCCCTGTTGTACCAGTTATCGTTTATATGCCAGCTAAACTAGTTGCCTTCTCGCGTAGATGTTTAGAATTAGGATTAGGAACTGTAGTCGTTGGTTTTCCAGCTACAACTCTGCTTTTATCCAGGGTACGATTTTGCATTTCATCAGCACATACACGAGAGTTATTAGACAGGGTGAGTTTTTTTTCATTTATTTTACATTAACTACTAATAATAGATATCCATGATCAAAAGTAGTCAGCGAAAATTATGTTTGACTCTATGGCTATACTATAAATCTCAGTTACTTTTAATGATAATATCAGGTTATCATTCTTAGAGATCCTTGGAATAAACTTAATAGATCTTACATATTTTTATTCATTAAACTTTGAAAAACGAGGTCCATGTCGATTTTTCATTCAGGATGTTCGTGGATAATAGATGACTGGAGAGTAGATAGATGGCAATATTATTATTATTTAGTCCAAGAGCAAATCTTAGTTGTTTCTTTTTCAGAGATAATTTCTCTACCAAGCGACTTTGTATTACCAGTCTCACGAATGAGTTCAAACAAGCTGTCTAATGTTATCTGTTATTACTATCCTCTCCATTTCTTTGATAAACATTGGGAACAACTGATTACGCTCTTTGAGAAAACTTTTGTCATTCTACCCTTTAGTTTGCTTCTGTTCATCACCATGTTTGAGAATGTTGCGATGAGTTCAAGGCAACTCAACAATTCATCAGAAGCTACCAAAACCAACTAAGATTTTCTAACATAGAAGTTTAGGATGCTAACAGATGTCTGTAGATCTCATTTTTAATTCTTCTGAGTTGAACTCGATGGTAGTGGGGACTGCGATGACAGACAAGTGACGATGTGTTTCCAAGTTCTTACAGAGCCATTCATTCACAAGTGACTATAATCAAAAACATAGTCCATGAATGCTATGCTGCTGGAGTTAGTGCTACATTCATACGTGTCCAGGTGTATTTAATTCGTAACTTGAGCAGCTTTCCGCACTGGTTATATGAGGTGAATTGAACAGCTGTATGTTGATCCTGTATGTGAGTTTTAGACACACACACACAATGCATCAATGAAGCAAAATTTCAAAATCTTGACTGATGAGCTCTATAGTTTGATTTGATACATGATCTAAAAATTTAAGGCTCCAACATCCAGTGTACTAAAAATTCCAGCAGAACATAGATAACATTCCATTATCCCAAATCGTTAACATTGGTTGAACGTGAAAAAGACGACTGGATCAAAGAAGATGTGTTGTCAACAAAGACAGAAAAATTAGTGAGAAATAAGGAAAGAGTTTGATAGAGATGAATATAAAGTTGAACACTAGTTGGAGTGTGTGAGATATTGAAACTCCTTGTTTTCCGACATCATGAAGGGATAATGCTTTAGGTGGAACTCGTAAATAAAGATTGGTAATCGTTAGTAGTCTGTGTGACTTCGGAGTGTGATCACAAATCATATATAACAATAGATTTATGTCAACAGTATATGATTATTTACGAATATTACTTATTGTTCTAACTTAGTTGTTTTCAGATCTCGAAATGGTTTGCGTTTTATTTCTAACTAAAAAATTAAATGATATCCGTTTTTTGATGTTTAATATTGTTATTCAGGCATTAAACATAATCGAGCAAGTTTCTGAAGAAATAGGAATTTGTTATAGTAAGCAACCGATTCCAGAATGGGCTAAAGAAGTTTTATACAAAGATAAAAATCATTGTTATACGAATGGTTTCTTAAAAAATATTGAACCATCAGTTAACAAACTACTTAAGAAATCAGCTCATACGGATTCTGTAAGTAATTCAGTCAGTCTGAGAAAACGCTGTTTAAAAAGAGATACCAACGAAAAATGTGGGATTAACACACACTTTTAGCTATGTAAGTTTTTAAAGTGTTACTTTGTTAAATATTTTCTCGCTCAATTTTTTTTTAATATATTCGTTCTACTTATATATATCAAGATCATTTCAATTGAGATTTATCACTGTTTCTAGAGAACAAATTATTTCAATTGGGAATAATAACAATAATTACAATGTAAATCTTTGAAGAATAATTTATTTTTGAACTTTTCTGTTTTCTCTTGTCAAGTTATTTTTGTTGTTCCGTATTCACTGTTAATCTTTTCTCAATTCGATCACTAAGATCTCGATGAATTGCTGTTTGGAATTCTTTACTGTATACGTTACTTACTTGATTACTTACTCCTTTTCCTCCTTATACAACATTGGGTTCCGACTAAGATTACCCATCCAACTCTAACCTGAGCTTTCCTTCCCAGTTGTTTTCAAATGTTATTCATCCCTTTGATGTTGTCCTTCAATACTCAGTTTAATGTAATCTTTTGTCTGTCACCTTTCCTTTTGTCTTGAGGAATCCATGCTAGGGTTTGCCTCGTGATGCATCTTGGTGATTTTCGCAAATGTGATTGGGTTGGTGCGTTCTGTGTTTTATTTCAGGAACTTGCTTATTCCCTTGTGTATGCTGAGGTCTGCAGAGATTGTTATTACAGTGACTGTCTTCACCTTCATTTGTTGGTGTGTATAGCATATAAGAGCTACGTCATCTTTAACTTTGTGTATTCACTTGTGGGGAATATAATGCCACATATAGACGTTTTGTCGAGTGTACATAAATTTGCAAATCTCTCAACATTCTCATTCCTTTCTCCCAGTCAGTTCATTTTGTCCCATGATATCTTCATATCCAGTGTTGCCCATTCAGACTTTGGTGTTTAAGTCTACCATCAGGATGGTCAGGTTATTTGCTAGTCACTTCACTACGACTGATTACAGCCTCTCATAAAACTGGAATTTATCGTCGTCATTGCTATTAGTGGTTGCTGCATAACACTAGATAACATTCATTACGATCCCGTCCTTCTTCGTTTTGAAGGGTGCTTTGGTGATTCTGGATCCATGAAATTCCCATCCTATGAGTGTTTTATGTGGTTCATTGAAAATCATCAGGGCAACTCCATGATTGTGCGGAGCATTTCCATCCTCGTGATCAAAGTACAACAGCATCTTTCCCGAATCTATCCTTTACTGTTCAGCTTTGAGCCGATGGGTTTCAATGATTCTGAGTATTATCATGTTGTATCTCCTAATTTCCGTTGCTATTTGAGTAATCCTTTCGGTTTCTCACATTGTTCAGACATTCAGTTTGCCTATATTAATTGTTACTCTTGTTGTTAAGTCAATTTAAAAATAAGAGTCCAGATAAGTAATCACCTTGTTCTGCTAATGTACCCATATTAGTTGTTGGTCTGGTTGTTACAGGGAGCATGGTCCTCGTGACTTCCGAAGAATCTCAGCTTTCGTCATGAGGCGTCATAATTCTTTTTTAACCTCGGAGGACAGAGTTTCAGTGGTTTAAATTATTTATTTTGGTTAGTGGTTTTTGTAGCAAAATTGTTTTCTCTGGGAAAGGGTTACTAACCGTATGCTTAACCCTCCTTTATTTTGGCTTGGGATCGGCAGCAATCGTAAAAGAGCTTTAGACGGGATTTTACTGTTTACGTTAATCAACGGTTATTATTTATTTGTCTTTAAGATTAATGGTTTCAGAAGCTGAACGATTGGATCTATGAAAACGTCTGCACCTTTTAGTTATTTTCAAGTGCAGAAACAATCAATATTTTTGTACGTTATACAATTTCCGATTGCTGCGTCGTGAATATTTAGTTTTTATCTTAAATCAATATTCGTTAAACAGTCAATAATAATCAGAGATAATCTTTTACATATTATTTTAAAACTTATTATCAGTGATGTTAGTTGGGTTTGAATTATGAATGTGTTGTATTGTGTGAAACCACACTTCCTGAATGACAAAGCTACTCAAATACACTCTTGTTGTCTTCTTTATCCTATTCAGACTTGTGTTGATTTAATCGGTTGTTTATTTATTCCGAAGAAGCGGCTTACATGAAGTCACGAAACGTCAAAAATACAATTTTTTACTCCTTGGGATGTAACAAAAAATATATTTATTACTGGCTCTTATTGTTAATTTCAACTCGTACTCGAAAATTGTTGATACAAACTTATAAAGGGGCTGAAATACATAAGATTATGTATACAGTTAACAATTATCTTGTTACATTTATTGCTGAAATAACAGAAGGTTTCTGAAGAAACAATCAGTCAGTTTTTTTAAACAAACTAATTCTTTACAATCTCTTCAGTGGTTCTACGATGAAATTTTCAGAAATACCACGTTCCAACCCTTAATCTTATTATTGTAGCATAAGAGTAACAAGAAACAGTAAATTCAAGAATTAAATCTCTAATACTCTAGTTGAAGGTTGGCCCAATAAATTTCCACAAAACACTTGATCAACAGCATAAGTAATCCAATTATTATTACTTCTCTGTCTAAGAATATGTGATAGATTTAAAATTTATAAAATAGGAGAATTAACACAATATGGATTACCGATTCACTTATCATCCATACTGTGATCATATGTATTCTGTTGTATCAATACATCTACTACCTATGTGTTCAACTAAAGAATTGCTATAAAAACCAGTTGAATTATAAGAATTTCGACAACTTGACAACGTTACAATTTATATATCCGACAGTATTTCATGAGATAAGAATGAATTAAATGTTATTTATAATAATTGTTAAGTGATTATTAAGAACTCTTAACCTACGATTGTATAAATATATTGAATAACTTCAAATAATGTTTATCTTCGTGTTAAATATCTTCTATATACGTATATTGTTTAACTTAAAAAAGACAAGTATTTGTTGAACATTTATTCCTATCTTGTAGTAATTATTTATTCGACATCATAACCATTCATTAATTACCTGATCACGATTTGATATTAGTTCATATTAATCCTGTACATATCAATAATAATGTAGTGAATATGAACATAGATGGGGACAACCAAATGTATTTAAGTACAAAATTACAGAATTTTTTTTAGTAAAATCTGAAAACCATACAGTAAATAGTTTATTTGCAAAATATCCATCAATTGTCTCAGACTTAGTTGTTCATTCGTTTTTATACTTATCACTCTTTGTTCTCATTCTCTTCTCTTCGATTTTCTCAACCTTTTGCCACCAAGTATTCCACTTCCGGTTGGGAATAAATATTGTTCATATTTGTCGACATCAGTAACATACACTACAATATCGAGGCATACGCACAGTATGCACATATGCCAATAAGAGACTGATCAATTTCAGTCCTAAAACATCAATGGGAAGATTCAAGTAAAAACAATATCAAGTGAATTAAACTTCACCCCATTGCACAAGCAAGTGGCAATCAGGACTCAGCAGCTCAGTGGATAACACGATGGCGTGTGAAGCGAACGGTACTGAGTTCGAGTCCCAGAGTGAACATCAACTCTGAGATGCAGGTACATCCAGCTGACGAGTCCCAAACAGAAAGAAACGCGCGTCCTCCATTCCACTGCTAGCCACTATCCATCTTTGCTTATTTAATTACTTTGTTATAAATTTTTTTCTATTTCCACATTTAAATTTATAAGTAGTATGAAACCTGTAATAAATAAATCTCAATCTGTTCTTTCAAAATGTTAATATCCTAGTGTTATATGTTACAAAATCATTTATGAAAACGTATTTTAGTCAAAAGGATGAAACTATATTATACAGTTTTTATATCATATCAATTATATTGATGGTCATTTTTTACTATTTGAGAACTATGACAATGAATTGAATAACATTTTTTTAAAAATCTATTTTCTGTGCTTAATTTATTTTTTTCAAAACAGGAAGCTAAATGCTACGTTGTTTGATATACAACATACATAAATAAAAGGATCCAATGAGTTTTCTTTCATTTTCATAATTACATTAGTGTTTGATCAACAACAACAACAACAAAAAAAAAAAACAACCCAGGAATAATAACAAATGTATAAAATATCTTTTCTTTTTCTATCATATTTGTCTTTTGTTTTTCTCGACTCAGTTTTACTATCCTTTTTTTAAGAGTAACATTTTTATTGTGACAATTACTGTTTTTTTTAAAAAAAAGAAAAAAGAAAACGTTTGTTCAGTGGTTATACCTCCCTCTCTCTCTCCATATATATATCATGAATTGATCAGATCTACTCAAGTTTGTACTTACTTTTTGTAACTGAGTATATGTCTAACTTTCATGATGATTACCTCTCAAGAGAATGTAATATAAACTGTTATCATTCAATCATTATCTTACAATAACTTTTATTCATTGTATTTTTTTCCTACTTTTTATATACGAAAATAATATAGAATCTCTTTTTGCTAAAATTGTAGCACTTTTCAATATATATATATATATTTTACATATTTTAGTTTGGTGTTACTATCATCTTCATAATCTCAGTACTCTTAATTAGGTTCTTTTGAGTAGTTGTATACTGAGACTTGTTGTTAATATTACTACTTTTTTTTAAACCATTTTTAAAAATCTATTTGGCTGTGATTTATTATTATTATTATCATTATTACTATATATCATGTAGTTCTAATAATCTTCGTCTTTTCATTGCATTATCCAGATGTATTCAAGGGATTAATTATTTTGAATATGGTTTATGAGTCAGATTCTATCATATGAATCTATTTTGATTAGGATTGAAATGTCGTATGATATTTAAATGTTCTAATTGATTTGTGATAGATTCTGTTGAATGCACCTTTTCATACCTCATTACGTTTGTCGTCTGCTTTTCATTTAAACTTTTTATCAGAAAGTATGGTTTCATTAAGCCAACCCTTTATCTATCTATATCGTCTCATTCATTCAGTACTTATATAGTACGACGCTGCATTTTTAAAGTTATTATTAATATAATCGAAGGTTTTCTCACTAAATCGCGAAAGGAATTAAGTAATACATGTCCAGTCAGTGTGTCAGTTCTTGTGATCAATATATATATAGGTTGATTTGTCCTGTCTGCTTTGCTTCTGTGAGATGAATGTATTCAATATCATTTGAATATTTTTTATCGAGTCGGCTAGCAAGAGAGTACGAAATAGTGTTAGTCCAACTTGTTAACAATTACTCGAATAAATGATCGTCTGATATGAGGAGAAGAAGAAGAAGAATGATTATACTTCTTATAATGTTAAAACAGTTGAAGTTTGTTAGTGTGAAATATACAAATTTGTTGTAAAGTTAAAATTAAATTTAGAATTCAAAGTTTCAACATGTTGGTATGTTACTTTGTTACTTTTAGTAGAAACAATAAGGTGAAGATCAGAGTTACATTCCAAGCAACAGAGTTACCTAATAAAAAACCTTTTGTCCTGCAAGTTTTGCTATTTTCAACAAACATAAAAATTGAATTCCGTGTGATTAGTAAACAGCTTAGAATGGTCGGTAATGTTTGTTACGCTGTTAGGTGATCAAATAACAGAAGTTGTTGAGAAAATATTAGACACCAACGTAAATGACATCGTACAGTAGGATACAAAACAGAATAACAATCCGAAAAACTAATTTCGATGTGTAAAAAAACTCTAGTAACAGAATCTTTCAAAATTGTATCAGCGTGTAGTACATCCAATAATAAGGATAAATTAGTATTTATCTTTCTACAATTTCAGCAATATTTGTTATCATTTTTTAGAAAGGAGGAATGGGAAAATTGGATATACAAGATTTAATTTCCTCATAGTTTTTTTAAAATAATAACTGTGTTATCACAACTAGTAAATAAACTGAAATGAAATAGTATAATAGTGTTCCATCCATTATCATAATGAAATGTATGTATTACAGCACTAAGCACAGAATCAGGTTGGCCGATTTAATTCGGATGTAAAACAGACAGATGAATTTTAAAACACTGTTTTTCTGCTAGGTTACATAAGCGCCAAAACAAAAAGTAGAGCCAGCGTTATGGAAAATTAAATTGTCAAAAACAAATATCCAATATCTTTGAAAGATTATTCCAGTACTGTGTTTTATATACAAATCTTTTAATGTTTTATCGTTAGTCTTCGGAATTCTAGGATAGAGGAGATCATAGAAATCAAACAAGCACAGAAATCGTTCATTAAAGATTTGACTATTTAGACTGCAGATCTAGTGTTATCATCTATTATAGAGCAAAAAATGTTTTGAAGAAATGTGGTTGATTATTGTCACTGGTATTTGGAACTCGTCAGCTGAGTGTACCTGCACCTCAATGCTGATGTTAACACGAAGTAAATCCAGCTGACCAATCCAAAATAGGACAGAACATGTGCCTTAGATTCTATTACTAACCAAAATCAATATATTTAAAATAACTTGTGACATAAAGATTATGTAGTGAGAATCCGTAAAAGATGCTCTTATATCAATTAAACCTGATCGAAATTCAATCCTTAATATCAACAATGTATACATTTCACATTATAACTAATAATGATATAAGTCAGTTAATTATAAACTGTATTGAATCAACGTATTCCATTATGTTTTCAATTAAATTATGTTGGCAATAGTGTGTTTACTGGATAATATATAAGATACACATATAGATAATTATATTTCAATACAATAGAACTTCTCAGTTAAAAAGAATCCATTCTAATCATTCATTTATTTATTTGATCATAAATATCTAAGACATTCCATCCTAATTTTACAAAAAATACTTGAATATTATTTCTAATGTTATACAATCATTAAGGATTTATAACAGTAGAATTTGAAGAGGAAGTGATCGGAAGTAATTGTTTACTCAAATATTCTTTGGTGATATTATATATGTATATATGTATACAAGAAAATAAATAGTATACTCAGAAATTGAGATCGATATTGTACTCAAAAAAAACTTTATTTGAATATTACCATAAATTATGGTCCGATTCAGACAAAAAAAGTACTTTGCATTAAATGATCAGACTTTATTAGTTAATATTTTGTTGTATTTGGAACATATAAATTAACTAATAATAACTGCTTACAATAGAGTTTTGCAAAATCATAAAGCTGAGAAATGAATACAAGTATGATTGTAAGAATAAAAGATTGAGTTAAAATCTACTAAGAAATGAGATGATCATTGGTTACTTATTTTGTGTTATACATAACTTGTTTCAAATTTTGTATATGATGATTTTTTCATATAAATATTGTTATCGTAATCTAAAGTAAGTTCATGGATTGATATCACTTCCTGGTCTAACAGGTCACTAGCTTTCTTCCAACCTACTTTTTTATTAACAAACATAGCAACAGTGTAGTTTAAAATAAGCTTAAAAATAGTTTTGCCCAATCAGAATTGAATAGATGTTTCTCGGGAACATCTAGAACATTGAAGGAATGAGTATTACGTTCTGACTGAATAGTTACTTATTTTTTTTACTATATTTGAAATATCTCCAGAAGTTTTTAAAGAATTAAAACTATTGGAAAACCTGTAAACAAACTGGATTCTCCACATATAGATTAAACATGGAACAAAGCATTTACTCATAATTCACTCCATTTATCTATTGTTAGAGTCCAAGGAAAGTAGTATTGAAATTAAGGAACCAGTCGGGAAGTTTGAAACAAACGTTCAAGTGGAAGACTTATCAATTAGTCAAATGATTTGTAATTTATACATGTTTTCCTGTGTTTCCTAGTCTTCAACTCATCTACAGATCTCGGTTTTTAACAATTCTTCCTTCATATCTATAAAAAGTAAACTACATTTAAGTGAAATTTCGGTTTAAAAAATTAATTGCTTTAAAAATTCAACTTCTTGCTACTTTAAATTGCTAAATCACTTATTTATACATCTGAACGTAACAGGAGGATCGAGAATAATAATAATTTACCTGCAAGTGTTGAACATGATTTTTCATCTCTATGAATAGTAATAAATTAAATCCATCTTCAGTAGTCGTTACCTCAGCCATACTTCAACAGGGAGTAATTCATGTCCACTTCTGATATAAACCCTAAACAGCTGAGCTGACTATCCAGGGCACACAATAAAAGCTAACATGATGGTCTATTTTGTCACCAAGTAGCTAGATATTTTCATCCAGTTGTTACTTGTTAAATGTAAGACATATACAACATCTTTGAAATTCAGAAAGTTATTACATTTTTTACGAAGGTATTTGAGAATTCCTTGGAAAAAATTGGAGAAACTGCAGCTTAGAGTTTTAAAGTTTATGAACAAAACATACAAATACAGTCTTTGTGTCCTACGAATACCTTCGCCTAGTTATAGGAAAATATGGGGCGGTCATGTTATGTACGTTCTCTAGAATACTGTACTAGCTGACAGATGGAGCTGCATGGACGAGCAGCTTTAAGTAATAACTAGGTGATTGTACACATAGCGTCGCACATTTTTTTCCACTGAGATGAACTGATGATACAAGCCACTACTGTATTCATCATCGTTTTTATTGATCCCTTTTCTTTTCCTCATTTTTTTTCGTCCACTTCACTGTATTTAGACTTCCTGAACATAGAAATAAGAACAAAGTTTCACATCTTTGACCAAGCGAAAGACTATTTAACAAAACAACAATAGTCGATTTTAGAGCATTAATCATTTAGTAACGAATTCACTCATGAAACTTCAAAATATTTGAACTACCAACTATCTACCGAATCCACGATAAATATTACGGCCAATTAGGTTGAACGGTATTACTGAACGTCACCGAAGACCCGGGAACGTTTATGATTACTATTATTTTTTTGCAGTGTCTGAGTACTCTACGTCAGAGAAATTCATCAGCTCATCGTGTTTGGCCATATCATTCCAAGTAAGAACGCTAGTACAAATAACGTGTAAGTAATTTGGAAGTGCGGCAGGATGATTGATATGATAGAAACGGTTTTATTAATTACGGTTATCATCAATCAATAAATTTAACTACCTAAATGTATTTAATGCATACCATTTCATTGTATTAACTGTTCACTAAATTTTCACAACTTCATATTACTGATTTCATCAAGTTGTACATTTGTCTAGGAAAAGTTTACTAGAAATTTATTAACTTCTGTGACAATTATTTGAATTCTATAGATACAGACATTCAATTTGAGAAACATACAATAAGTGCTATTAAAAGTTTGTTGCTTCCAAACTATATTACTTTTTTGCTTGATATTTCGTGTGTTACTCTATGCTGTGTACCAATAATCAGTAGTTTGATTTATATTCGTCTATTTCTAAATCTTGAGTATTTATGTTTACATCTAGTCATACAGGACAGCTTCACAAACTCTTATTATAATGTTGTCATTCATTTTCGTAGTTGTGGTAGTGCCTTTTCACATCTTAATCCATTAATTCATTACTATACAGTACTTCTTGGAGCTTGCTTAATCATTAACAGTTCCAAATATAGGATCTGATTTTTTTTCCTGTGATTGATAAGATTTTACCATTACATAATCGTAGTTTATTTTCTGCTTTACAGGTTATGATATATCCATCCCGTATATTTATCTTTCTGTTTACTGTTGTAGGCTTACATGATTCTTCGATCTTTAGGTTAGAGGCTGTATACGTTGTCTTTA